TATATTCTGCAGTTCTTCCCTGCTGTACCGAATATCTATACTTTTCAAATTATCATATTGACGTTAGAAATTCAAATATTGTGACAATTTATTTTGTAGGGTGCCAGAAGTTTGTTAAAATTTCCAAAGGGTGCCGCGACTAAAAAAAGGTTGGGAAACACTGGGTTAGTCCATGGTAAAAATGAATACTGTATAAGGCCACTTTCTATATACATTAAAAAGTTCAGTTAAATAAGCTGCAAGAAGAATTGTGGACTCGGGTTTGGCTTATAAACCCTTGCATCAGATGTTTCTGCTATTACTATCGCTATTTTTTTCTACTCTGTCACTTTTTAAAAAAGAAAACATACAAATTTTATAAAATTTTCTATTTAGTATACTCTGAAGATAGCTATTCAATCCCAGAGGTGTTTGGGTGTATTCTGCTCACTGCGTTCCAAAAATACAATGAAAGATTATGCTAAATAAAAGCAGCATGTAAGTTGTAAAGGTCATGGGCTGCACCTTCCTGCAGCTATGAACGAAACCCTCGCACCTTTCCTTAAGAAACCTGGGCTCATTCATTAGAGCTCTCAGACACACAGCCGCCACTCTCTCTGCTCAACGACAGCTAATGTCACAAGCTGAGGATTCCCTGAGCGCGTTCAGTTGGACCGAAAGAGCTTCGCTGGGCCAGCGTGTCCTTGTTATCTACCCATCATCTGGGTATCATCAGCAGTGGCTGGGTAATGCTCCCCTTCCCGAGTGCTGCCAAAGGCTGGGCAGATGGACAGGTGGAGATAGTGACCAAGAAGTGGCGCCACGGTTGCTTTTATCACCAGTCGTGCAGGCTCCAGCTCCTCTGACCCTACCGTCCACATGCTGCATTTTTAATCAGCCAGGTCATCCAATCTAGAAGCAAGACCAGAGCTGTCAATCACAAAGCCCTGCTCGCTGCAAGTCCTCATAGTTTGAGGGTAAAGGCACGCAATCTGCCCCTTTCTGAGACCGCTGAGCCTGGGAACGGTCCGCTACTGATGCCGCTCTGCTATCTCCAGCTCTCTTCCGCCATCTTTCTTTGTATTCTCCCCTTTCAGAGTGGCCTTTTACAAAGTAATTACAAAGAAAACGACAGCCTGATAACATTAACGGCCAGCTAAAGCTTCTTTATGCTTGCATCACTTCCTGCCTGTAACTGCTTTGCTAAGAAGATCTCAGTGATCAATCAAGTAAATGTATTCATAGAAACATTTGGTAATAAAAGGTTTCTTGATTTTATCAACGTTAATGAAGACAAGAAGAAAAAAAGTGCATCATTCTGATAAGTATTTAATTAAAAAAATAACAATAAGAAAAAATAACATCACACACATATATATATATATATATATATTAGGGGTGTACCGGTTCACAAAATTCACATTTAAAATTTTTTCGGTACAAGTCCTTCGGTTCAGTTTGCATGCGTTTCAGCGCGATCATCTCTTCCTCTTTTCTACTAGTTTTAACATGAAATAAACTTGAATGAACATCTCATGTCTCATGTAATCGCTCAATCAGTGTTTCAGCCGTGGAAAGACGGCAATAAAACAGCTTATAAACGAAATGTCACATAGCATTTCATTTACCTCAGGAAGTCATCAGTGTCCGCAGCTCGTTAGTGCACGATAAATGAAGTCTAGAGAAGAGCATTTCACAAAATATTAGACTATATACTCATTATATTTTACTTTACCTGTTAGTGGTGTCTTAATTATTTAATGTGTTTAAATAAATTTGTTATGAAACGGGTTATGACAACCACTGTGTAAATGAATACATTTCAACAACAAATTTTATCATTTAAAAATGTATTTAAAAATTGCATTGTGCAATTTACATGTTTGCATACTTTTTTTTAAAGCTGAGTCTTGATTATTATATTTAAAATAAATAGTAACTAAATTTAAGTTTGGGCTCTGTTGGTAATTGTAACCTTATAGTACTGTAAAAGCGTTCCCTATAGTTTAGAGCATAAGCTGAGATAGATTTTCGTCCCTAAGAAATTTTTTATTATAATTAATTTAAAAAAGAACAATTTGTTCAGTAAAACACTGTTTAATAAAATAAAAATAAAATGTTTAGATTTTCCGCCTGCTGTACCGAAATCATACCGAACCGTGAAGTCAAAACCGATGTACACACCGAACCATCATATTTGTGTACCGTTACACCCCATAATATAAATATATATA